ACAGGCAGCCAGTGATGGTGAATGTTTATCATGGTCACCGTTTGTTCACTGTGCTTGTGTTCAACATGGTCACCCTGACTTGTGTTCATCATGGTCACCCTGACTTGTATTCATCATGGTCACCCTAGCTTGTATTCATCATGGTCACACCCTGACTTTTGTTACATCATGATTACCCTGACTTGTATTCATCATGGTCATACCCTGGCCTGTGTTCATCATGGTCACCCTGACTTGTGTTCATCTTACTCACCCTAACTTGTGTTCATCTTACTCACCCTAACTTGTGTTCATCTTACTCACCATAACTTGTGTTCATCTTAATCACCCTTACTTGGAGGTAAACATCAGATGCAGCATCAAATTAATTATAATTGAAATTAAATATTTCTCCTGTCTCATGAAATCGTAATGACATGATTGCAAACAAACCATACCACGGGCGGGGATAGAACCTGCAATCAGAGAGTCTCAAAACTCCAGACCGTCGCATTAACCACTGGACCAGCTAGCCACAATAAGATTCGTCCAACTAGGTATATTTCTACACCATAAGAAGGTTAGCATAGGCACCACTGTGACCACAAATACAAGTTTTTACAGACGAGTCTCCAGCTAGCGTGGCCGTGACAAACTCTAGCTCAAGTCCTCTCAAAGCCGTTAATATGACTCATGAAATCGTAATGACACGATTGCATTTGTGGTTACAGTGGTGCCTATGCTAACCTTCCTATGGTGTAGAAATATACCTAGTTGGATGACTCTTGTTGTGGCTAGCTGGTCAAGCGGCTAAAGCGACGGTCTGGAGTTTTGTGACTCTGATAGCGGGTTCTATCCCTGCCTGTGGTATGGTTTATATTTCTCCTGTGTTATTAATTTTATTAATTTTCTTTCGATCTCTTAGGTTTTTTAAAGAAGACAGAACTAATAGAAGCAGCTCAGCCCCTGTGTGATGCTTCACTGGTGAACACTGCAGAGGCCTCGCACTACTCTGCTTGGTCCTCTATGAGTACCCTTACCAGGAAGAACCTGGCCAGACGAGATGGCAACCCTTCCAGGTGATAGTCTGACCACTACTCTCTGCTTTACTGTTGTGACAACCATCCAGGTGATAGTTTGACCACTACTCTTTGCTTTACTGTTGTGACAACCATCCAGGTGATAGTTTGACCACTACTCTCTACCCTCTGTAACCTGTGTCAGCACTCTCATGTGCTGTACTACATCTGTGGTGGCTCCATCTGCTGTCCCAACCCTCAGGGGATGACCTGGTGTTGGCTCTGGAACACTTATCCCTCACCCTTAATGCTTGTTTTATCTTAAGGCTGGATTTCCTTCCTGGTTTTATATGAATGCAGCTTCAACCTGTCCTTCTTGACCTCATGCCCACCTAAATTGCTGTAGGTGCCCAGTCTCCCTCTTGTAGATAATCATGTTGATTCTTTTGTGATTTGGTCCATATTTATTCACTGGTCCTCCTTCTGAATGACTTTCTTCCTCCTGTATTAGAATGAGCTGTCACTGTCACAGTTGTGAAGGTTCCAGGCAGCTACCACCAGTGCCTAGTGAGAGCCCTATATACCTACTTGGTCCTTGTGATGGCCATGCCTAGGAAATAATGAAGGACTGGCAGCATCATACTTGCCACTTCTTTGTTCAGCTCTATTGCTTCATCTCTTCGACTTCCACTACATGAGCAGCATCCACTTTCCTTCTGTGCTCTTGCCACCTGTGGTGTGGTGGGCTTTGTGCTGGCTGCATACATTCCACTGTCTCTGAAAAAGAGGATCTTTGTCCCAGTAGTGTACCTTTAGGGTATTCTGAAATTTTCTCTGATTCTCAGTGGCATGCTTCTTTTAAGCTAGTATGTATTTCTTAGACATGATGCCTTCCCCCTCTCCTTTGGGATTTTTGCTATATATAACCTTGCTGCTGTTGCTGGACAACATGACATTCCACCAAGCATCCTCCCTTACATGGAAATACTACAAGTTTTTTTACAATCTGATAGGCTAGCTAGCCCATGTGGACCATTTATGGGAGATTCTCTGGGGTTCTTGGTTAAAGTTTCTTGTTTTCTTTTGTGCCTTAGCCTCATAGGGCTGTGTCTATAAGCATGAAGCAGCCAAACTTCATTTTCTGTCTATGCCTAATCATCCTTGACAAAGTAGCTATGTAACTCTCCCAGTAAAAATAGTCAGGAGTGGCTTACTATGTGGAGGGATAAGGAATGCTTTTAACCCATTAATTGTCCAAACGTAGATCTATGTTCTCTTGCCCAGCGCTCCGAATGTTTTGAATTTTTTTTTTTATTTATTGAAATAAAGAGCACATTTTTTCTATGTGTATAGGATAAATTAGGGTCAGTATTCACCGAGATATGAGCCTGCGAAGTTGGCTCATCTGACGACAACTTGGAGTCTTGCCACTTGCAGAAGTTTGTGCCGATATACCTTTTTTTCTCGTTTTCTTATTATTTTATATAATTTTTATGTTCTGATAATTACTATTTATAGTAGTGCTTGTGATTTGATAGCCAATCTTTGTTCTGATGCTAATATTAGGTATTGAAATAGCACTCAAATAGTCACAAGCACAGTGACAGGTGAACATTTTCACCTGCCTTAGTCACATACTATTGTCTAGAAATATATACATAGTATTTATAGGTTCCTGCAATGTTTTGGATATGGGAGTATATAATAATAATAATAATAATAATAATAATAATAATAATACAGTGGACCCCCGACATTCGAAGGCATCGACATTCGATAAATCCGACATTCGATGTATTTTAACGCAAAAATTTCGCCTCGACATTCGATGGAAAACCCGACATTCGATACGATTCGTACGAGACGTGTCCATGTGTGGCCTGAACTTCCCCGTGTGTGCCAGTGTTTACAAGCTAGCCAGTGTGCGCACATCTAAGGATACATTCGGTACATTGCATATTATTCATATTATCACTGTTTTTGGTGCTTGTTTCTGCAAAATAAGTAACCATGGGCCCCAAGAAATCTTCTAGTGCCAACCCTTCGAAAAAAAGGTGCTAATGACTATTGAAATGAAGAAAGAGATATTTGCAAAGTACGAAAGTGGAGTGCGTGTGTCGGAGTGCATGATGATTTGGTAAAGAAATTGCCTGCAACTAGTGGTGATGTGAGTGAAGTTAAGGCCAGCAAAGGTTGGTTTGAAAGATTTAAGAATCGTAGTGGCATACACAGTGTGGTAAGGCATGGTGAGGCTGCCAGTTCAAGTCCTAATGGAAGGGGATTCCACTTCTAAACACTAACACCATCCATACTCTTCCCTCCTCCCATCCCATCAATCATCACGAGATCTTCATTTACCCTTTCAGGGTCCGTCCCGTAGATCTACGGCTTTACGTTCAGGGTCCAAACCGTAGATCTACGTCATGAGCTCAGCTCACTCTGATAAACTGTGAGTGGTACATTTGGGCCTAGATATGACAGAATACATCTATGTGGTATGTGTGCACCACATAAAACAGATCCTGCAGCACACTGTGTATAATGAGAGAAAAAAAACTGAAATCATGATTTTTCGATTAAAACAGCGACTTTGCAGTGTTTTCTCGTATGTTTTTTATAGTTGTATTTGCGATTTCTTGGTCTCATTTGATATAATGGAAGATATATTCAGAAATAGAGATGATTTTGATTGGTTTTAGCACTGGAAATGGCTTGAAACTGAGCTCAAAGTAGCGGAAATGTTAAATTTTTGCCGATATTCAAGAGTAAACAAACTACCTCACACATCTAATACACGTCAGCTGGTGGGTCTAATATACATTCACAAATATGGTGATGATATTTATACAATTATTACAGTATTGCATAACAGTAAATCTATTTTTTGGTGTGAATAAAAATTCATTATGTGAATAAAAAATCAAAATGGAATTTATTTGTAAAGCCTCAAAATGTAACTAATGAACAGAGGAAATGTTAGTTTAGTTCCAGGAATACCTACATTGTTTATTCTGGAGCCTATTTTGAAATTGGAATATTTTGAACTTTGTGTTAAATTGGCCAAATTAACAATTTCCGATCACTTTATTTTGTAGTTGAAACAGTTGACTTGGCGATTTCTTGTGCTCAATCGATAGAATAGAAGTAATACTAGTGAAATAGCTAAGAATTTGGTTGATTGGAATAATGTAATTGGCCTAAAATGGGAGTCAAAGTTGGCAAAATCGCCGATTCGTAAATATCGCTGACACATCAAAATTCGCGAGAGCATAATTTCGTCAATTTTCCACCAAATTTCGTACTTTTTGTTTTATTACCTTCACAGAAAGATTCTCTACGATTTCATAAGAAAAAATAAAATTTTTTTTTTTTTGAAAATTCTTGGACACTGGTGCGTGACTTCAGATTTTGGCCTTGGACCCTGAAAGGGTTAAAGGTAAGTGTCAATTATTCTATTGTTATTAATCTATTGTTTTGTTGTTTTTGTAATTATTCTGTTGCATTAAACTTAACATTTCATGTGGTAAAAATTTTTTTTTCATACTTTTGGGTGTCTTGCATGGATTAATTTGATTTCCATTATTTCTTATGGGGAAAATTAATTCGACTTTCGATATTTTCAACATTCGATAGCTCTCAGGAACGGATTAGTATCGAATGTCGAGGGTCCACTGTAATAATAATAATAATAATAATTTCCCTTGAAGTATCATGTCAGAGAGTGTCACTTGTCTTATATTATCACCCACTGCTGATAATGGTGACATTTGATGAGTGTGGTCTTATCTTATCACCCCTCTGATGACAGCTGTGACATTTGATGAGCTTGTCTTATCTCATCTTATCACCCCACTAATGACAGTGGTGACATTTGGTGAGCCTTCCCTTTATTTGTTTTCACTGTTTCACATAAACATATCTTCCTATCTGTCTGTCAATCTGTCTGTTTAGCTCTCTATCTGACTAGCTTTCTGTCTAGCTCTGTTCATCTGTCTAGCTCTCTGTATATGTCCAGCTGTCTGTCTGTCTAGCTCTCTGCCTGTCTAGCTCTGTCTGTCTGTCTAGCTCTCTGTCTGTGTGTCTGTCTTTCTGTCTGCCTGTGTGTGTCTTTCTGTCTGCCTGTCTCTCTTTGTCTCAGAGAGTTGCTCTTGAACCAACTTGTATTACACACGATCACTATCTACAAGCACAGTATAGGACTTTGTCTGGATTTTTTGGTTATCCTTGGTAATTTACACTATAATTGTATTTACATATGTGTTCCTATGAGAGAGAGGCAGAGACAAAGAGATGGACAGACAGAGAGAGATACAGAGAGACAGACAGACATAGAGATAGCCAATCAGCCAGCCACCTGCCAAAACCATATTACACATTCCAGAATTGTTTCTTTTTACTTAGGGCATAGGTTATAGGACATTGTGGCAGGATGACTACCAGTGGTACCAAAATTGAAAGGGTGTTGCACAAATGTTGCACATGGGTTATTATCAAGTTTTTTATATTTTTGCGACCACTTGTGGCCACATCCACCTCAAAGCCACTAAACTTGGGGTCAACGTCACTTTCTTCACAAAAGGGGAGCGTTACTACAACATGACATCAGTGAATCCTTGGTGTTTGCCATGCTGTTTGTTCTAACTAGCACCCAATTTAATTGGGACTCCCACAAGGTACTAAGTGGTCCCAGATTTTTTTAATACTATGCACACCGAGTGTTAAGACCCATTCTGTGCTGACCAGGCATTTCAGGGCAATCGTGACAAATTTTAAGGCAGGAAAAATAAAACGTAAATATACGTTTGGGGTGCTAGTGTAAGAATGTATATACAGTAGACCGTTATTTAGCATGGTAGTTATGTTCCTGGAAATGCTGTGTTAGGTAAAATCGTGCTAAATGAACTGAAGAACTTATGGGAAAAATAGGGTTACGTTCCTGGAAGCCCCCAAAAAGCCAAACAACTTTTTTTAGACCAACAGATCTTACAAAAATAAAAGTGAACATGTAATTGTAGTTCATTGTTGTGATATATTACTGCTTAAGACTACAAATGCAATAG